TGACTAACCGAATCGTATTTTTTTAGGATCTTACAGTGTTGTGTATATCCATCCAGCTATTATGCTCTCTGCATAATGTCAGGTTCAACAGTGCTTTCTGCTTCGTCCTTCAAACCTGACCAACAGCTCCTCAGGTTGTCTACAAGTTTCCAATCCCAACAGGATGACATCGCATAACGCGCGCAGCACATTTTGTTGTTATTTTGTGCAGGTTCAACATGTAAGTTATTAATCGGAAGTTGATACCTTTCTTTGAAACATTTTTAAAATCAGGTACGTAGCTTCTTTTTAAAACGGCTTCTAATTCTCCTTATTTAGACAGGTCTTCCGTATTAAAAGAGCCACTTCTTAGTGAAAAACTTATAAGTTCATCGAAATCCGTCATCTTCCAATTAAAAAATAGTTTTCTATTTTTTTAATTTTGGCTTCAGATGGAGAAGTATTATCCACTTCATAATCTGATACTAATTCTTTCAGATATCCCTTCTATGGAATATCATCCTCTTCTTTACATTTTGGCTTCCAGGCTGATCTTCAGTTATTTTCCTATAAAACCACTTTCTGAACAACTCAAATCTGACGTTCAAGATTTTAAATGCACATCGAAACCCATAACCATTTATTTCACTTTTATAAACACTCACACGTTCTGTCAACATGCTCAGGGTCACGTTTGAAAGCAAGTATGAGATTCATGCTCCTCATACACTTCTTAGCATCTTTCAGGTTTTCACTTTCATGTGTTTCACTGGCCAAATACCGAGGTTTTTGTAGAAATTACACTTACCGTCTTTTCTATGCTTATCGTACGCCTGACTGCTTCTTTTCTTGCCTCATCATTGCTTCATACCACTGTTGTGCTGCCTGGAGCTGCCTAGCAATGTCAGTCATTGACTTGGTAGCATTATGAGAGGCATATTCACCGCCGCTTGGTTCACCGCTACATGTATAGGCTGCTGAACGCTCTCCGATGTGGAAAAAGAAACACAGTGCTAAGATTGCGTACAGATTGAAAGATCGGCAAAAGAGCTAAAGAATTGCAGAGGATCATGATGAGGGTAGAAAGAGTGTAACGGTGCTGAATTTGAAGATGGAAAAAAAGATTGCGAAAAGAATTAAACATGACGAAAGGTCAGTAGTTTTCGAACCAAAATATTTTACTTGTATCGAAAGCTATACGCTATGAGTGTTAGTGATCACGTACCATAACGTGTACTTATGAGGAATAAACGTACCTGTATTCTTGCATTCAATTGCTTCTACTTTT